TAGGTTTAAAAAAGCTTTTAAATCGTTTTTTTAAAATTTAAATAAGAAACGATAAGCCGAGCGCGATATATTATAACTTTAATAAACTAAATTAATAAAGGATTACTTAGCCGAGTTTAAACGCCTTAATATTTAATTTAATTTTACTAACGATATTAAGATTTTTATATTTTATTAAAGATTAAAAGATAAGGTTAAGAACTAACTTATTAAAATCGATAAATTAAACGATTTCTTTTAATATACTAAACTCGTAATTAAAATCGATAACTATTTTTATAAAAAAAAAAAGGAAAAGAAAAAATAACGATAAAAACCTAACTTAGGACGTAAATATTAATAATAACTTTAACATAATTTTAATTAAAAACACCGTTATAACGGGAATAATAATCTTTAATAAATTACTATTTATAAATAATATAACGGATTTATAAACCTTAATATAGCGAAACGAAACTAATCCTATTAAAAAAAAGAATTTAAATATTATAATTATAATAAATTAAGACATATAGTTAAAAATTATAAATAACTTAAACGAATTTAATAACGACTTATCTTTAAGAAATAGATTAATATCACTTCTAAAGAAATACTTTATAAATCACTTTCTTAAACCGTATATTACGACAATAACTACCTTATTTACCGAAATAATAAAAAAATAATTAGGATAATATTTTAAGAAACCTTTTAATAAGACTTTTACTATAATAAATAAGTAAAAAGTAGTTTAACACTTTAAAACTATTAAAAACTATAATAAAGAATATATTTAAATATTATTAATAATATACGAAATAATTAAAATATAACTTATTAGTTTTCTTAAGCGAGCGTAAACCCTTACGATAATAAAAAGTAAATTAAAAAAAAAAATAATTAAAAATAAAAACGACCTATTTTAGTTAGAAAAAAAGATCTTAACTTATAAAATACGAATTCTAAATAAATCTATTTATATAATACGACGAGCACTTAATAAAATAATCTAATATTACGAATAGCACCTTTTAATAATAAAAAATTATAATAAAGATTATATCCGTATCTTAATTAGCTATTATAAAACTAACCGATTATTAAAGAAAAAGCGACTAAATATAAAAGTAATGCTCGCTCTACTTTAGTAACGATTTTAAAAACGACTAGAGGCTAAAACGAAAAAAAACCTCCTCCGGCTAGAAAACGAAATTAATAAGGAAATAAATCTAATTTATGGACCTTAGATGTTAAAAGAACGTTATTAATAACGTATTAAGGAACTAAGCGAGGCCTACTATACAGTAAACGCTTACGTTTCTTAATATCTAATTATAAAAATAGTCCTTATTATTTTAAAATAGTGAATATATAAATAATTCGAAATAATAACGAAGGACGATATGCTCCGCTTAAAATAAAACTTTTTTATATTTAAAAAAAGTACTAAATCGGACGACTTAAATAAAAGAACTATTAACGATATATTTATAGAATTTAGTACCGAGGGACTAAATTACGACCCCTTTTTAAATAATATTAATATATTAAACTACGAATAGCTAATAAGTTAATAATTATTTTATAATTTAAACGAACCTCGCGACGTCGCCTAACGATATACTTAGTTAGAAATTAATTATAGGATATTATTTAATATTAACGATTTTATTATTAAAAAGGAAGCCGATTTAGATAAGTAATTAAAATAATAAAAATTTATAAGCTTTTAAGGAGAACTAAATTAGCTTATTAAAAACCTAAAAGACTACTTATATAACCGATATATTTAAAATATATAATCTAATATTAAAATATTTAAAAACTATAAATTATTTTTTAAAAGGAGAGAACCTATTAATAAAAAAATAAATAATATCTATAATATTATTAACGTATCATATTTATTTATTAAAAGATAAAAGCGTCCCGATTTAATAATTAACTATAAATAGCTTATAAAAGAAGGACGGGTATTAGCCCTTAAGATATTAAAAAACTAAATATATTAATTATAAAAAAACGACGAAAAGCGGCTAAAATAAATAAGTTCTTATATTTTATAATACTCCTTAATAAAGAACATTTATAACTTAAACTTTAAATAAACGGATACGATATAAGCATTATTATCGATAATAGCGCTTAAAGAATTTTTATTTTACTAAAAACGGTAAATAAGTATAAATTATTATAAGTATAAAAAACGAACTTATATACCTTACGAACAGTAAAAAAAGAATAAATTAATTATAATAATAGATATATTAACCGGGAGACTATATACCTCACGATATATATTAATAATTAATTAAAATAATTAAAATACGATATTATAAAGATTAGAAACACCGATATTATTTTAAGAATCTCGTAGTTACGAAAGTATAATCTATAAATAAATTAAAAAACCGGTTAATTTTATTAGATAGATTTAATTATTAAACGATTTAAAAAAAAAAGTTTAAACAAATCTTATACAATACCTAACAAATAAAAATAAACTAAATATATCGCCTTTATTAAAATAATAAAACTTATTAAAATATTCGTACTCGGCACGGACGATCGAGGATCGGACCTACTTTAAACTATATTTAAAAAGTACCGGATTTATACGAAATTATTCGCCTTAAAAAAAGAAATAGGACTATTAAAATATAATAATTAAAATATAGAGATTAAATTAAAAGAAAGAACATAACCTAAGTTCTATTTATTATATTTTATAAATTAATTTAAATATAATAAATTTAACGAGTATATTAATAATAGATTTAAAAAAGGTTATATTAGATTATTATTTTCTTTAATAAGAGTATTAATCTTCTTTATACTTAAGAAAGGTAAAAAAAAGCTTAGACCTATAATCGATTATAAAGGACTTAACGAAATTATTAAAAAAAATTATTATTTATTACCCCTTATTTTAAAACTTAAGGAGATATTATACAGAGCTTAATAATTTATTATAATAGACCTTAAGAGAGTATTTAATTAAATTAAAATTAAAAAAAGAGACGAATAAAAGACAGTATTCCGAACTCATAAAGGATTTTATAAGTATTTAATTATACTTTTCGAACTTACTAACGCACCTACTATATTCTAAATAATAATTAACTATATATTTAAAGAGTATATCGATATTTTTATAATCGTTTATTTCGACGATATCCTTATCTTTTCTTTTAATTTCAAGACGTATAAGAAATACATTTATATAGTATTTTAGAAATTTTAAGACGTAAAGCTCTTTACTAAGCTTAAAAAATACGAATTTTATATATAAAAAGTAGATTTCTTTAGCTATACGATTACGTTAAGATAAATTTATATATAAGTATTTAATATAAAGGTAATTAAAGATTAATTTATACTTATTAATATTAAAAATATATAATTATTTTTAAAATTCGTTAACTTTTATTAACGATTCCTTAAAAACTACGTTAATATTATTAAACCTTTTAATAACTTAATAAAGAAAGATATAACTTTTATTTAAGATAAAAAATGTAAAAAAGCTTTTAATAAAGTAAAAGACTTAGTTATTTTAAAATTAATAATTATAATCCCGGACCTAAAAAAATTATTTAAAATTAAGACCGACGCTTCGGACTTTTTTATAAAAGTTATTTTAAGATAATAAAACTAATAAAGAGTATTTTACTTTTATATATTTTATTTTAAAATATTTTATAAAATAGAATTAAATTAATAAATTTATAATAAAGAATTAATAATTATAATCGAAGCTTTTAAAAAATAAAGATTATAGCTTTTAAATATTAAATATAAAGTTATTATTTATATAGATTATAAAAACCTTACGAACTTTATAATAAATAAGAATTTAAATAAACGATAAATTAAATAAAGCGAATTCCTATTTAAATTTAATTTCCGAATTATTTATTAAAAAAGTTTAGAAAATAATAAAGTAGACGTTTTTAATAAACGACCGGACTACGAAGTTATAATCCTTAAAGAAATATAAATAATCCTTAAATACGACGATAATAATAATCTTATGCTTATTATAAAACTCTTTATAATAATTAAAAGAGTTAATACTAGCCCGTTTAGAAAAATAACTTTTAAGCTTATTATAGAAGTTTATAATACTTAAATATATAGTTATTAAGGTATTATAAAAATATAAAAACGGATTCGTTAATATTATAATAAAACCGTTATAAAAATAGAAGTTGTTAAAGCTATTAAAGACTACGATATTTATAAAAAAAGTAAAAATAGCCTTTATAAGCTTTATAAAAAACTATAATTACTATTAATACCCCTAAAAATATAGCATTTAATCTTTTAAGACTTTATTATTAAACTATTAAAATCTAAGGAACTATTAACGAACGTATAGTACGATAATATTTTAGTTATCGTCGACCGACTTATTAAATTCGCCTATTTTATATTATACAAAGAAATAAGTAATATTAAAGAATTAGTATATACCTTCCTCAAAATAGTTATTATTAATTATAGTTTACCTAAGGAAATAGTTTTTAATAAAAATAAGCTATTTACCGTTAAGTTTTAGAGATTTTTAATTTTATAACTCAGTATAAATTATAAACTATCGACCTTTTTTTATTTATAAACCGATAGATAAATAAAAAAAATTAATTAAATTTTCGAAATATACCTCTGTTATTATATAAATTACGATTAAAATAATTAGGTAGTATTATTATTAATGGCCTAGTTTATATATAATAGCGTAATTAACGAAAGTATAAAGGAATCCCTTTTTTTATTTTAATTACGGATTTTAATTAATTATATATAGAGAAGTACGCGAAGGACTATAAGCTATGAAAGCCGTAATAGACGTAAATAAACTTAAGAAGATTTAAAAAGAAGCCTCTTTAGACCTTAAGTTTATACGGTAGCGTATAAAAAAATACGTTAATAGATTAAGGATTAATAGATTAATTTTAAAAAAAAGAGATAATATATATCTCTTTCGTTATAATATTAAAACGAAATAATTAAACGATAAGTTAAATTATAAAAAACTTAAACTTTTCGAAATTATCGAAAAAGTTTTATTAATTAATTTTAAATTAAAACTTTTAAATACGATACGATATTACCTAGTTTTTTATATCTTACTTTTAAAGTTAATATTTAAAAACTTATATATTAAAGATCGTATTATTATCGAACCTAACGAATTAAAATACGAAGTTGAGCGAATTATTAATTACTAAATTAAAAAAGGTTAGGAAGAGTATTTTATTAAATAGAAGGACTACGGACACGAGGATAATATATAGGAACCCGTTACGAACCTTTAGAACTCTTAATAGCTTCTTAAGGAGTATTAAAATTAAATTTAAATTTAAAACTCTTAGCTATTATAGCGTTTTAATCGATAACACTAAAAACATTATTAGCTTACGCCTCTTAAGCTACCGAGGAAATACTTTCGGTATCTTTAAGAAATTCTTTTAATATAATACGACTTTTTTTAAATACTATTCGTTTTTAAAAATAAAGGCGTTTTAATTTAAATAACGATTTATTTAATTTAATTTAAGCCTTTTAATAGGCCTTAGCCTTTTTTTATAGCTCTATAGCTTTTTTTAAAAACCGCGATTTTTTTATTTATTTTTTATAATTAAAATAATCGGACTTTATTATTAAAAGATTTATTATATTTATTAATCGGGACTTATAAAAAACTATTTATAAAGAATTTATAAATATAAATAGTATTAATAGAAATATCGTATAAAATACTTAGACGATAGTATATTTTATAAATATTAAAATTAAAAAGAATTAAATAATAAATACTTTAAAAACGATAATTTAAATACGTTATTATTTTTATATTTTTATTAAAAAAACGAATAATACGTAATAAACGGCGACGAGACGTAGCTATTTATAATTTTAATTTTTTAATTCGATTTAATATAGCGTTAATATATTTTAATAAAAATATTTAATAATTCCTTAATTTAAGAACAAATAACCTATTTATAAGCCTAGGGATTAGACTTTTAAAAGGAGGAGCTAATATTACGACTTAATACGTATTATTAAACTAGGGCCTTACCCTATAAGACCTACGGCGGCTATTATATTATATATATAATAATAAGAACCTAAACGGCTCCCTTTAAAATAAAAGAACTATAAATAAGTTACGTAATTATAATCGTATAATAAAATAAAAAACGAATACTTATAAATAAATAAGATAAACGATTATAAAAATATAAAACGGATAACTATTTAATAAACGGTTAAATAATAGCGAATAGGATATTATAAAAAATATATTTATAATTAAAATTTATATATAAAATAGCCTAAGCTAGGCTCGAGGATAAACTTTTATAGCTTTTTTAATAATTAATTTTATATTAGATTTTACGATTATTTTTAGCTATTTTTATTAAAAACTTATTAATAAGATTATAATTAATTACTAAAGCCTTACTTACCTTACGATTTATAAATAATAGCTTCCCTAAAGCTATTCTTATAACGATTATTAATTATGAGTATCGTAGCCCCGACTTCTATTAATATAAACCTTATTACGACTAGCCGATCGTAACAAACTAATCGTTTTACTCCTAAGTCTATATAAGTTTATTTTTATAAGTTATAGAAGTTAAGGTTAATTATAATTTTTATATAAATATAATTATAAAATATTATATATAAGTTAGCAATTTATTATAATAAGCTTTTTATTATTTTTAATTACAGGTCGATTTTAATCGTATTTTAATAAGTTAAATAATAATTTTATTAATAATTTTTTTTTTATTTAAAACGATATTATACGATTTATAACTTAAGGAGAGGAAATAAATATTATTATATTTTAAAATATATTAATAGTTTAATAAAATAGTAACGTTGTTAAAGATATTTACTTTTTTAAGCTTTTTATTTTTTATAATTAAATTGTTTTAATTTAATAAGTCTATAGCGTTTATTTATAAATTAATATAGAATATATTTATTACATAAAAACCTTCGTTTTATATTTATTTTTAAATAGCTATATTTATTATACCGTTTTCGTTTTAAATATATATATTTTAAATAATATATATTCTTTTTTTTTAATATTTATAAATAAGTCATTTTTATTTTAGGCGATTTAGGTTATTTTTTAAAGGTTATAAATAGTTTTTTTATTAATAAGGAGATTTTTATTATAGCTATTGTGTTTATTAATTTAATTAATTTACGGATGGTCGTAGTCGATAAGAGGGGTTTTTTATTTAATTTATAGTTTTTTTTAAAGCTTTTAGTAGTTAAAAATAGGTAGATTTAAGATATTAAGTTTTAAATCCGGTAGAAAAGTTAGTTTTAATTTTTAATTATAATTTTTATCTTTAGTATATATTTCGTTTTTATCTTTTTTAATAGTTTATTATTTTTTAAAGCTATTTATTTTAATCGATTATTTTATTTAAATAAGGTTTATTAATAATAAGGTTAATATCTATTTTATTATAAATTAATTTTAAAAAATAGCTAGATAAATATCCCGTATTTTAAACTAATTAATTAATTTTAGCTAAGAAATATTTAATATTTTTATTATTTTTAACGTTTTTTAAATTATAATATAGCCGGTTAAGTTATTATATAGCGATAGCTTTTAGTATTTTGAAACGTTAATAAAGGAAAAGAGCCTAGGCTTCGAGACCGTGTTTAACGTTTTTAAATTTTTTTTATTATTATATTTTTAAATTTTTAATATATTATTTATTTACAGTTTTTAATAAGTATTTATTTAAATTAAAGACAATAGCTTTTATATAAATAAGAGATTATTTTATATATCGTTAAAAAGTATTAATAAAACAACTAATATTAATTTAAATAATTTTTACGTTTTTTATTTTTATATTACGGGTATTATTATATTTAGTTATGGGTTCGAATTATTTAATATTTTCTATTTAAAAGCGGAAATTTATTATAAAATTTTTTATTAGTAAAAAGAGTTATAAATTTTTATTATTATCTAAGTTATTATTAAAGAAACTTTTAGGATTTTATAGTAAATAACGAGATAGCGATTTTTAAAAGCTTTGTTTTATTATTAAAAAGATAAGTGTTTTATTTTATAGTATGGGGGGTTATATTCGTAATCGAATATAATATTAAAGTTTTTTAATTATTTATAATTTATTTTTTATTAAGCTTATCAGTTTAGATTATTTTAATATTATTTTTAATTAGTTTATTTAAATAATTTATTTAATATTACGCGACGTAAAAAGTCGTAATAGTTACGGTTTTATTATCCCTTACGCTTATTTTATTATAAATTTTAATATAATCGAATATAATTTAGTATAAAGCTTTTTAAGAGATATATAATCTTTTTTTTTTAAATCGAAGTTTTTTAATTTGGTAAAGTGGGGCGTGCTTTACTTTTTATTTATAAAGATAAAAAGTTATTAAATAGATATATTATATTTAATATAAAGTTAATAAGTTAAGTAAAATTTTATATTAAATTTTATAACTTTTTTTTTTATTAAGTTAGTTTAAAATAAAAAATATTTTTTTTTAAATACTTTTTTTTTAATTAACGATTATAATAGTATAGGGGTTTCCGGCTACTTTATAATAAAAAAGATAAGAAGATTAGTATTTATTTTTAGTGCCGAAGGAGTTTTTTTTATTTATTTTAATAATAACCTTAGTTCGTATAAAAATAAATTAAATAGGATTTCTTTTGTAATATTTATAATATTTATAATAAAAAAAAAATAGGAGCGCTTTATTTTATTATAAATAGGAATATATTTTATTTTAATATTCGTTTTTATTTTTAAACTATTTAAAGAACGCGGCTTTAAATCTTAATAAATTTATATTTTATATTTATATATAAGAAATCTTTTAATATATTTAAGTATTTTTTTTAAATTCGATAGTTATTTTAGCGATACGTAAAGTTAAAATAATAAAGGCGTTTAGTCGGTTAAACGCTTTAAGCCAATAATAGTTCTAAATATAATAATTAATTAATTAAGCGGCTTAATCGGCGTCCTTTAGTAAAAGGATAATATTAAGATCTTAAGGGAAATAAATAATATCGTCGCTTTTTATTAATTAAGGATATTTAATAGTAAGATTACGGCTTTTTAATTAGCCTATTTTTTTAATAAGGTCGGTGCTTTTTAATTAGTTTATTAAAGCTAAAAGAGTTAACGCTTTTTAATTCGTTTTTTTAAAATATAAATATATTATTTAGTTTATTGAAAAAGAGTTATATTATTAATTATTATACGCTTTTATACGGTGAGAATAAAATAATATATTAATAATTTTGTTTAAAATTTTCTTATAAATTTCTTAACGAAATTCTTTAAATATATTATAAAAGTTTTAAAAGAAACTTTTAAGAAATTTTAAGGATTTCTTTATAATTTCTTTTAAAAAAAACGAAGGAAATTTTAAGGATTTCTTTGCGATTTTTTTTTAAAAAAATCTTAAGGAAATCTTAAGGAAATCTTAGGCTTTTCTAAGCGCTTTTTTTTTAAAAAAAATCTCTGGGAAATCTTAGGAATTTCGCGGCCCTTTTTTCCCTTAGTAACCGTATACGAAAGATAGGAAATTTAGTTATAGACCGTAATATTAATTAAGTTATTATAAGAAATACGACTATTATTTTATTATTAACTTTATTATTTTAAAATCGAATAAAAACTTTATTTTAAACGCCGTTTTCTTAATAAAACCGACTTTTTTTAATTTATTATATTATTTTAACTTTTATTTATTTATAATACCCTTTTTTTTAATACCGAGTATTTTAAATTTATATTTTATTTTATATACCGTTTTTTAAAAAGGATATAAAATATTTAACGTATTATTCTCTTTTATATTTTATTAAAGTAGAGTTTATTATCTTTTAATAATAGTTATTAAGACCTTTAATAGCGTATTTTAAAATATTTTAATAATATTTTTAAGCTTATTTAATAAGTTATTAATATTAATCAAAAATTAATAATTACCCTTTTCCGATAATATAAGCTAAGTTGTTATTAATAAAAAACGTAAGGTTTCTAAATAAACCTATTATTTTTATATTTATTTTTACAATAAGACCCATTTTTAAGTTTATTTTTTTTTAAATTATAGTTTTTTATTATATTTAATTTAAAAAATCCTCCTCCCCTTTTTTAAACGTTATTTTAAACCTATCGATTTTAAATAACTTAAAGCCTATTATAAAGGCTTTTTTTAACTAATTTAATATATTTATAAAAGTTAATAGATTCGGTATTATAAAGCGGTATAAATATACCTCTCGAATAAGTCAATTTATACGATATTCGTTTTAATATAATTAATTTAATAAATCCTGTCTTTTAAAAAAATATAAATTTTTAATAATAAAGGTTTTGAAAGTATAACTATTAATAATAAATATTATAAAAACGTAAAAAAAAAAGAAATAGCTTTTACGTTATTTATTAAACCTTTATTATAGTCAATATAATTATTAACTAAGCCTTAAAGTATCTATTTACCTTTTATACTAAAAGCTTACCTAGCTTATTAAGGATTTTATTAAAAATATAAGCCGTCGTATTAATATTTAAATATGTAACGTCCGTATTATTATATAAAAATAATTCTTAAATTTTATATTTATTTAACGCGATATTTATAACGTTAAAATACGTTTAAATTAAGAAAAACTAAATAGTTATTTACCGACGGCCGTATTAATTAAGTTATTTAATAAGTAATAAGTTCCTTATATTATTAAATAGGCTAATAATAAGCCGGACCGCTTTATTAAGCTTATTTAAACCTTTCCCTACTATTTTTAAATATAAAAGCGATTTTTAAAAGTAATTAATTTTAATAATATTTATAATACTAATTATTTTAAACTTTTATTATTCTAAATACCTAAATAAATATATTTTAAATCTATTTATAATATAATATTTAGTTTTATTAATAACGAAAAGTTAAAAAGCTTTTGATTTCTTTTTAAAAATATAAAATAATTAGTTAAATAATAACGTACATACATAGCGAGTCGCCTATTTCTAAATACCTTCCTACTATTTATATAAATTAATTAAGTTGTATTATGTAAAATTAATTAAAACTATTTATTAACCTCTTTTTTAAAAGTCTTTTAAATTATTTAATATATTTATATATTATATTTAGTCTTTTTATAATTATTATATTACTATTTATACGATTTAACCCTTTTTATATAAATACCTTTTTAATATATATTTTTATTTTTAATATTAATAACCCTTTTTTTTATTTAAATTACTTTAGCTTTAATAATATTAAATAAGCTTTTAAAATATAGTTATATTTTTTTAACCCTTCGGCGTTTATTTAATATTTTATTTATTATATAAAACCCGTAGTATTTAATTTTAATAAAACCTAATTTATATACTAATTTATTAACATTTTTAATTTATAAATTAATAATTTTATATAAATATATTAATAAGCTATATTAATAATTATAAATCCGTTTTTTAAATAAAATAAAATTTTATATAATATTATATATTATAATTAATATCTTTAGGTTTTAAAAGCCTTAGTTATTTAAATATAAATTAAGGAATATTAGCGTTTTTAATTTAAAATCTAAATAAGAAATAACTACTTTTAAATTAAAAAGTATAATTCTAGCTTATTTAAAACTAACTTATATGTTTTTTTTACCTATTAAAATAAAAAAAACTATTTTAAAAATAAAAAAAAAGTCGTTTTTAATAATATACGTAATCTATATCTATATTATCTTTTTAATTTTTTTATTATATAAAGCTTTTTATAAATTAAAATAATTAATATTAAAAAGCTAAAGCTCGTATAATAAATAAAAAGGTATATAAAAAGTAATAATACTATATTTTTTATAATAATTATCGAATTTAATCGATTTATAATTATTATAATTATTAAAAATTAAAAGCCGCTTAATACCTTTTATATAAGACTTTATATATTTTTTAAAATACTCTAATAAATCTGAACCGATTTTATTTATAATCTATTTATTTTTATTAAAATAAATATGTTATTCGGGGAGGAATTAATTATTAATATATTATAAAAAAAGGTAATATTTACTTTTTATAATAATATATAAAAATAACACTTAGTTATTTATATATATATTTTAAATAATAAAAACCTATTTTTAATTATTAAATTATTTTATATAAGGCTTTTTATAACGATAAAAAATTATAATAACTTTTATATACGAAAGTATTCTTATTAAAAAGCCCGTTTTATTAAAATTATAAATATTATAATTATATATTTTATATTTTATAATTATATTTTATACGAAAATAAACTAAGCTTAGATAATTATAAAATCCTTAATTAATGCTTTTTAATAATTAATTTTATATTAAAAACACGTCTTTAATTATAATTAACGTTATATAAAGTTCTCTACTTATTACGGTCTAATATATATTATATCGTGTTTATTAAAAAAGTAATTAGTTATATTTTATACGTCGTTAAGTCGTAATAAAAATCCTTAATTAATTAAATTAATAATTTATTTAAAAATCACGGTTTTTTTTGAAAAAGTTATCTTTTTTAAATTTATATAAATTTTATATTGAGGTACTAAGCTAGCGTATCGGTCGTAAAATATTATTTTTAAAATATTATAAATAAAGGCTATTTTTTATATAAATAAATTTAAATCTTTTTTAATAATTTAAAATATAAAAATAATATAACTTTTATTTAAAAAAGAATTTATAATCGTACGTAAAGAAAAATAGTTATTAAGATAAAAGGTATAAAAAGAAAAGAAAGTAATCGACTCGTTATAATAGGCGACTCGCTATGCATATACGTTATTTAATTCGTGGCTTTATAATTATTATTATAGATTATAATAAGTAAATAAAAGCTATATTTAGTAAAGAGTTTTTAAATATTTAGTAATAGCTTTATATTTATTATATTAATTTTAATATCATATTTAAAACTAAATAGAAATAAATTAAAACCGGCGGTAATAAGAATAATAATAATAGGTTTAATAAAAAGGATCCTTATTTAATAATATAAATAGTAGCGGAGCTTAGTAAAGAGGACCGTGTTTATATTAATACGACGGCAAATTAAGTTATCTTATATACTTATTATAAAGTATTTATTATATAAAAGCTTATTATTACAACCTAATATACATAACAGACTAAGGACCTGCCCCGCTACTCTACGGCGGCTACCTCGCTCTATATATATAATCGAATAATAAAAATATATATATTACCTTAATAAATCAAAGGAACTATAAGGAAGTTATATAATAATAAAAAGGACCGACGGATAATAAGCGGTTTTTAAATATAAATTAATAAGATAAAGATCGGTTTACTTTTAAAGGACCGATTTTATGATATCGGTCTTAAATATAAAAGAATTATTTAATAATATATAGGATTTATATATAATATAGACTTAAGCTAAGTTTATATTTATAATTTTTATAATTTTTTTAATAATTAATTTTATATTAAATTTTATAATTATTTTTAGTTATTTTTATTAAGAACTTATTTAATAAGATTACGACTAATTACTAAAGCTTTATTTATTTTACGATTTATAAATAATAGTTTCTTTAAAGCTATTTTTATAACGACTATTATTTATAAGTATCGTAGCCCCGATTTTTATTAATATAAAGCTTATTACGACTAGCCGATCGTAATACTTATTATTTTTATTAAAATAATATAATTTTTTAAAAAAGCGTAAAAAAAGCTTTATAACGAGTTCGATAATTAACGCCCGATTTTATAATATTTATATTTAATATACTTATTTATCAAAATATAATAAGCTCGCTATTTTATTCGTTAATATTAAAACTTTAATATTCGTATTATTTTTAATATTAAGTCAAATAATAATAATAATAAAGGCTACTTTTTTAATAATCTTAATTATTTATATCGGCTTATCGATATTACATAAAATATAATTAACGATTAAGAGCTACGTTTTTACTAGGCTTATATAAAAAACGAAGTGCTTATTAGCCGGGATTATCTCGGCCCTGTTTAAAATATTTTAATAAACTTCGGATTATAATTTTATTAAAATATTTTAAATTAATTATTAAATAATACCGGTTTATATATAAAATAATACCTTTTAAGAAAAGGCCGTTTTTACCTTTTATTAAGAAATATAATAATAATTATTTTATATCGGTTAAGCTAAGTATTTCGTATTATTATAAAATTTTTTTAAAATAACGGAATTATTGATTTTTAATAAATAAAAGGTTTATTTGCAATAGTAGTTTAAAAAAATATTTTTTTTAATCCTTATTATTAGATTTTAAACTTAAAAACTATAATATTTTTCTATAGTAAATTAAAAAATATAATATAATAAATTCTTATAAAGCTTACATTATTTTAATAAAGTTAATAATTTTAATATTAAACTATTATAATATAAAATAATTAAAGCTCGACCGGCCGTAAGCAAGGCCGCCCGCCGGGAAGCCGTAATAAATTATTATTAATTAAGAGCTTATAAAGGGCCGGCTATTTAATCTTTAATTAGGCCTTAAACTAATTTTAATAGTAAATAAAAAGTTAATTTAATATTTTTAATAAAAGAAAGATAATAAGGAGTCGTATAAATAAAAAGCCGTTATAACTTAATATTTAAAAATAGTAAAATAAATAAAAAATAATATTAAATAATAGCGAATAAAGGAATTTATGATTATATTATTTTATTTATTATTTAAGTAATTTATTATAAGTTAACGTTATAGTTAAAGTAAAGGTAATTATCTATTTATTTTTTTGTTATTTTTAAGGACTTTATAAATATTTTATAAAGAATAACTTAGGATATATATTATTTAATAAGAGCTTTAGAGTTATTGAGTTATTGAAATATTGTTATAAGTATTTTTACCGCCTTTACGGGAATGTATTATAATTTTGAGCTAATTAGGATGGTAGATATATATGCCGTTATAAAGTATATGCCTTTATATTAATTCTGTATACTTTTATATTAATTCCCAATAATAAATAATAATTATATTTTTTATAATAACTCGGTTAATAAATCGGTAATTAAGTTATTATATAATTAAAAATATTAACTTTATACAATTAACCGATATTAAAATAACTACTGATTAAAAAAAATAATAATATATTTATATATTAACGTTTTTAAAAAAATATTCTATTATTAAAATTATATTCCGTAACTCGGTAGCGTAAATTACGCCGGGGTTTAGTTATTAAAAATAATATACGTTAATATTAAATATAAAAACTATAATAATAAAAGAAATTTAAAATAAAGAGAATATATAAAAATACATTAATAGAATTTAAATATATTAATAATAAAGTTTTAAACTAATCAGGATAATAGATATATGTATCGTTATAAAGTATATACCTTTATATTAATTCTATATACTTTTAAATTAATTCCTTTAAAAAAATAAATTGAAATCTTTTTTTAAATAATATTTAAATATCGAATTATAAATAGCTTATAAATTAATAATTATTTTATAATTGAAATAAACTTCGCGACGCTATTTAAAAACGAGCCTAATTAAAAATCAATTACAAAATATTATTTAATATTAAGAACTTTATTATTAAAAAAAATGAATTTAAATTAAATAATTTAAATAATAAAAGTTTAAAAGCTTTTTAAAAAGATTAAACTAATTTATTAAAAATTTAAAAAACTATTTATATAATTAATATATTTTAAATAACGTATATACATAGCGAGTCGCCCATCATAATAAGTCGCCCACTTCTAAATACCCTCCTACTATTTATATAAATTAATTAAGCTATATTATATTAAATTTAATTAGAATTACTTATTAGCCTTTTCTTTAAAAGTCTCTTAAACTACTTAATATATTCGTATATTATATTTAATCTTTTTGTAATTATTATATTACCGTTTATATAATTTAACCTTTTTTATATAAGTATCTTTTTAATATATATTTTCGTTTTTAATATTAATAACCCCCTTTTTTATTCGGATTGCCTCGGCCTTAATAATATTAAATAAGCCTTTAAAACGTAATTATATTTTTTTAACCCTCCGGTATTTACTTAGTATTTTATTTATTATATAAAACCCGTAGTACTTAATTTTAATAAAAGCTAATTTATATATTAATTTATTAATACTTTTAGTTTATAAATTAATAACTTTATATAAATATATTAATAAATTATATTAATAACTATAAATCCGTTTTTTAAATAAAATAGAGCTTCGTACGGTATTATATATTATAATTAATATTTTTAAATCTTAAAAACCCTAACTATTTAAACGTAAATTAAATAATATTAACGTTTTTAATTTAAAATTTAAATAAAAAATAACTACTTTTAAATTAAAAAATATAATTCTAACCTATTTAAAACTAGCTTATACGTTTTTTTTACTTATTAAAATAAAAAAAGCTATTTTAAAAATAAAAAAAAAGTCGTTTTTAATAATATACGTAATCTATATTCGTATTATTTTTTTAATTTTTTTATTATATAAAGCCTTTAATAAACTAAAATAATTAATATTAAAAAGCTAAAACTTATATAATAAATAAGGAGGTATATAAAAAGCGATAATATTACGCTTTTTATAATAATTATCGAATTTAATTAATTTATAATTATTATAACTATTAAAAATTAAGACTTATTTAATACTTTTTATATAAAACTTTATATATTTTTTAAAATATCTTAATTAATTTAAGCCGATTTTATTTATAATTTATTTATTTTTATTAAAATAAATAAGTTATTTAAAAAGGAATTAGCTATTAATATATTATAAAAAAAATAATATTTACTTTTTATAATAACATATAGAGGTAGCGCTTAACTATCTATATATATATTTTAAATAATAAAAATTTATTCTCGATTATTAAATTATTTTATATAAGGCCTTTTATAACGATTAAAAGTTATAATAACTTTTATATATAAAAATATTCTTATTAAAAAGCCTATGTTATTAAAATTATAAATATTATAATCGTATATTTTATATTTTATAATCGTATTTTATATAAAAGTAAATTAAGCTTAAATAATTATAAAATCTTTAGTTAATACTTTTTAATAATCGATTTTATATTAAAAATACGTTTTTAATTATAATTAACGTTGTATAAAGTTCTTTATTTATCGTAATCCGATATATATCGCGTCGCGTTTATTAAAAAAATAATCCGTTATATTTTATATATTATTAAATTATAATAGAAAGTTTTAATTAATTAAATTAATAACTTATTTAAAAATTACGGTTTTTTTTTAAAAAAAGATTTTTTTAAATTTATATAAATTTTATATTAAAATAATAAATTAGCGCGTTAATCGTAAAATATTATTTTTAAAATATTATAAATAAAAGCTGCTTTTTATATAAATAAATTTAGGACTTTTTTAATAGTTTAAAATATAAAAATAATACGACTTTTATTTAAAGAAAAATTTATAATCGTACGTAAAAAAAAATAACTATTAAAATAAAAAGTATAAAAAGAAAGGAAAGTAGGCGATTTGTTATAATAAGCGACTCGCTATGCAAATACGTTATAGATTTAATATTAAAATATTTAAAGAATTATTAATTATTTTTTTATAAAAGAAAACTTATTAATAGAAAAATAAATAATATTTAAAATATTATCAACGTATTATATTTATTTATTAAAAAATTAAAACGTTTTAATTTTATAATAATTATATATAACTTATGAAAGAAAAATAGGTATTAGTTTTTAAAAAATTAAAATTTAAAAACGTTAATTATAAATAAATAAAACAAAGTAAATAAAATATATAAATTCTTATATATTTTAAAAAATATTAAATATATTAAATTTAATATTTTTATTAAAAAATAATAAATATATATTATAATTAATAGCAGCGTTTAAAGATTTTTTATATTATTATAATTTATAAAAAAACGTAACGTACTTTACTAATCAGCCGCGTATATTAATTAGCCACGTACTTTTTCTAACTCTTTGAATATTTTATAAGTTTATATAACTACAATATAAAATATTAATTAGCTCTTATTAATATTTAAATTATTAAACGATTTTATATTTTTAAAATATATTTACGTATTATAACTTATTTTATTATATATATTATAATACTGTTAAGCCGATTAACTTTTCTTTAATAGACCCCTTTTTTTACTTTTTTAAAGCGTTAGACGTTTCTTTTTACCCTTTTTTTTTAATATAACTTAGGATTTTTTTATATTAAATACTTTTTTAAGTTAAGTATATATCTTTTTTATTCTCTAGCGTTTAATAAGCGTTATATTGATATTTTAAAATATATATTTTTAATTTATTAAAATCGTAATTAAATACGCTATTATTTATATACTTTTTATTAACCGGTTAATTATTTTAATTATTAGTATTAAAAAGCTTTTTTAATAAGCTAAGATCTAAGTTTTAATAAAATTAAATTAAAAAAGCGCTTTATAGTAATTAAAAAGCGTTTATAATTACTAAATTAATAATATTAAAAGGTCGGTTATAAAAAATATAGGCGTTTATATATATATATCGAGTTTTTTAATTATATAGTTTAAGTCTTATAGTAAAATTCTAACTTTATAAAAAGCGGATTTAATATTTTTATTTAAAATATTTTTATTAAAAGCTTTATAAAAAATAATAAAAAACTCGGATCTTATAGTATAATTAATAAAAAATTTAATAAATAGGTTAATTTTATTTTTATATACGTATTCTAAAAGTAAGTAAAGCGTAATAATTACTAATTAAAGTAAATAAAATAAATATAAGGGCATATTAATAGTTATAATATTATTCTATTTATAATATTTATTAAATTCGGTCGATAAATAGCTTTTGTACTTATCGATTATAAATATCTAATAGACACCTTTTATATAAGTTTAAATATATTTATCTAAATACTTAATTTAGTCTAAATTAGTTTTATTATCGGTCTATTTATTAATAATTAGCTTAATTACTTAATCGCTTAAGAAACCGGATACTATTAATTAATTAAAAAAATAATAAGACCTTTAAATAATTATAAAAATAAGATATACTATTTTTTTAAATTAATATATTTAATAATTAACGTACATATATAGCGAGTCGCCTATTATAGCGAGTCGCCCACTTCTAAATACCCTCCTACTATTTATATAAGTTAATTAAACTATATCGTACGAAATTAATTAAAACTACTTATTAACCTCTTCTTTAAAAGTCTCCTAAACTACTTAATATATTCGTATATTATATCTAATTTTTTTATAGTTACCGTATTACTGCCCGTGCGATTTAACCCCCTTTATACGAATATCTTTTTAATATATATTTTCGCTTTTAATATTAATAACCCCTTTTTTTATTCGGATTACCTCGGCCTTAATAGTATTAAATAAGCCTTTAAGACGTAGTTATGTTTTTTTAGCCCTCCGGCGTTTATTTAATATTTTATTTACTATACGAAGCCCGTAATACTTAGCTTTAATAAGAATTAGTTTATATACTAATTTACTAATACCTTTAGCTTATAAATTAATAACTTTATATAAATATATTAATAAGCTATATTAATAGCTATAAATCCGTTTCTTAAGTAAAATAAAACTTCATACGGCGTTATATGCTATAATTAATATCTTTAGGTCCTAAGAGCCCTAGCTACTTAAGTATAAATTAAATAGTATTAGCGTTTTTAATTTAAAATCTAAGCAAAAAATAACTACTTTTAAATTAAAAAATATAATTCCAGCCTATTTAAAACTAATTCGTACGTTTTCTTCACCTATTAAAATAAAAAAGGCTATTTTAAAAGTAAGAAAAAAGTCGTTTTTAGTAATATATATAATTTATATCCGTATTATTTTTTTAATTTCTTTATTATATAAAGCCTTTAATAAGCTAAAATAATTAATATTAAAAGGCTAAAGCTCGTATAATAAATATAGAGGTATATAAAAAGCGATAATACTACGCTCCTTATAATAATTATCGAATTTAGTCGATTTATAGCTATTATAACTATTAAAGATTAAAAGCCGTTTAATACTTTTTATATAAAACTTTATATATTTTTCAAAATATTTTAATTAATTTAAGCCGATTTTATTTATAATTTATTTATTTTTACTAAAGTAAATACGCTATTTAGGAGGGAATTAACTATTAATATACTATAAGAAAAAGTAATATTTACTTTTTATAATAACGTACGGAGGCAGCGCTTAGCTATCCGTATATATACCCTAAATAATAAAAACTTATTCTTAATTACTAAACTACTTCGTACAAAACCTTCTATAACGATTAGAAATTATAATAACCTTTACGTACGAAAATATTCTTATTAAAAAGCCCGTTTCGTTAAAATTATAAATATTATAATTATATATTTTATACTTCGTAATCGTATTTCGTACGAAAATAAATTAAACCTAAATAATTATAAGATCCTTAACTAATACCCTTTAATAATCGATTTTATATCGAAAACGCATTTTTAATTATAATTAGCGTTATATAAAGTTCTTTACTTATTATAGTCCGGTATACGTTATATCGTATTTAGTAAAAAGGCAATCGACTATATTTTATATATCGTTAAATCGTAATAAAAATCCTTAATTAATTAAATTAATAACTCGTTCGAGAATTACGGTTTCTTTTAAAAAAATTATCTTTTTTAAATTTATATAAATTTCATATTAAAATAATAAGCCAGCGCGTCGGTTACGAAGTATTATTCTTAAGATATTATAAATAAAAGCTGTTTTTCGTACAAATAAATTTAAATCTTTTTTAATAGCTTAAAATATAAAAATAATACGACTTTTATTTAAAAAAGAATCTATAATCGTACGTAAAGAAAAATAGCTATTAAGATAAAAAGTATAAAAGGAAAAGAAAGTAGGCGACTCGCTATAATAGGCGACTCGCTATATATATACGTTATAGCTTATTTATAATTACTAAACTAAATAAATTTCGTTTTTTTATATTTATCGGTATACGTAACGATTATCAACTTAGTAATAACGCTTATTATAAAGCTAATTTTATCGAAATTATATAGATCCTCATTATTAATACCGTATTTAATTATTATATTATTTAATAATATAAACTATTTTAAAATAACTTTTAAATCTTTTTAAAAAACCTTTTAATAATTATATAGATAATTAAATTTAGTTTTTAAAGTCGGTTATAAATTAATTAACTTTTTAGTTTAATACTTTTTAATAAGCGTTTTATTTTATATTTAAAATAAAAAATTAATTATATTTTTTATTTTAATAAGTCGTAAAAGAAATCTTTTAAAATCCTATTTAATAACGTATTAAAAAAGTTTTTTTTTTTTAATTAGATTGAGTTTATATTATTAAAATTAGATTCGGTCATAGCGTAGTTAATTATTTATTTTATTATATAAGGTGTTTTTAAAGATATTATATATTTTTATAACGCGTTATATATTAAATTTCTAATTTATAATATGTATAACTCGGATCGTTTTAATAATAAGAATAATTTTATTTTTTTAAATATAGATTAATATTATAATTATTAAGTTATTATATATTAAAAGTTTAAATAGTTAGGAATAAAACGCGTTGTTAAAAAAGTGCGCGGCTAATTAATATACGCGGCTAATTAATAAAGTACGTTAATATATTTTTATTAAAAAGAATATTATATAAATTATAAAATATTAAAGAAATATAAATTGAATATAATAAAAGATTTATTATTTTAAAAAGTATATAATATTTTTTAAATATTGATAATTATAGAAAGAATTTTAATTTTAATATTATAAAAATAAAAAATAATTACGATATTTTTTAAAAATTATATAATTATAAAAATATAATTTATAAATATATTAAAAAATAAATTAATTTTATTAATAAATTTTATTTTTAATAAAATTTATAATATAAAGGTTTAAAATAAATTTTATATTACGTTTAAAAAATAATAAATTAAATATATTATTTTAATTAAAAAGTTTAAAATATTAATATTAATAAAAGTTAATTTAAAATTAAATTTAATTTAAATTATTTTTAAATAAATACCGAATTTATATTAAACTTTTATTTAAATTAAAAAAATAAACTTATTTAAATATAATAATAAAAACATAAAAATCGAATTTAAAAAAAATATAAATTTAAGTTTTATTTATTTTATTTTATTAATGAAAATAAATAATATAAATTCGATCGTTATATTAATAAATTATTAATAAATAAATATATTAAAAATTTTAAATAAACTATTAAAATATTCATATTTTTTATATTTAATAAAATAAAATATTATAATTTATAATTAATTATAAAAAAGTTAATTTTATTATTAAAAATATTATTATTTATTATTATTTATTATTAAATTTAAAAACTTATTATATAAAACTAATTAATTTATTATAATTAATTTTAAAAAAGCTTTTAATTAAATTAAAATTAAAAAGTAAAATAAATAAAAAACCGTATTTTAAATATATAAAAGATTTTATAAATACTTTATAATACTATTTAAGTTTATTAATATATTTATTAATTTTTTAGATTATATTTAATTATATATTTAAAAAAATATATTAATAATTCTAATTTTATATATATTAATAATATATTTTTTTATTTTTAAATTTTAAAATATATAGAAAATATATTTATATAATATTTTAAAATTTTAAAATATAAAATTTTATATTAATAAATTTAATTTTTTTAAAATATATTATTATATTTAAAAAGTTTATATATAATAATTAAAAATAAAAATAATTGAAAATTAATTTATATTATATTATAAGAAGTCTAGCGTATAGTTATATTTAATTAAAATAATACCTATCTAAGTAAGCTTATTAATTTGTTTCTTAAATACTTTTAATTAATATATTTATTTAATTAATTTATAATTTTCTTTTTAAAAAAATAAGTATTTTAAATTATAAGAACTAGGTTTTTACGCTCTTAGCTTATTATAATTATAAATTTAATTTTTATAGATTTTCTTTTTAAAATATAAAAATAGAAAAGTATTTTTATTATTTTAAAATTTATAAAAACGTAAAGCGCTTATTAGTAATATTAATAACTATTTAACTTTTTATATTTAATAATAGTTAACGTTTTTATATAAAACTAGATTAGTTAGTTTAATATATTAGTTTTTAAATATGTATAAAAAACGCGTTTATTTAGGATTTTATTAATTTAAATACGAAAGATATTAATAATAACGATATTTAATTATTAAAAAAATTAAGTTTTATTAAGTTAATTATTAAACGTATTATTAAATTAAAAAATAATTATTATAAATAGTTAATTGTTTAAAAAAACGGTAGTAATAAAAGCGAAATTTAAATATTTAACGACGATAAAATTAATTAAATTTAAGTTTTTTTAATTAATAGACTTATAAAACTACGTTTTATTAAGTTTAATAATATTAAAAACGAATATAAATAACTTATTAAAAACTATATAAATCGAAGTTAAATATAAATAATAATTATAATAAATTATTAAATAATTAAATATTTTATTTTTTAAATAGTAAATTCTTAAAAACTTATAAATATTTAAATAAACCTTTTATATAAAGATAAAACTAATTTTTAAAAGCTTATATATATATTAAAGCGTAATTTAATATTTTTTTAATTTGTATTTTTTTAATAATTTATAAAAAGTATAATAATATATTTTCTAAAGCTTTTTAAATTAATATTTATTTAATTATTTAATATTTTAATTAATGTAAAATATATAAATAATTTTAAGTTTATAATATATTTAAAATTTAAAAAGTTTTAATAATAAAAAGCTTTTTTAAAGTTATTAAAACCCGTTTTATATCGACTTAAATAATTTAAATATTTAATAAATTTATTATAAATAAAAGTCTTCAACGCTTTGTTTTAATTTTAAAAAAATAAGAACGAATTTTTAAAATCTTTTATTAAAAAAATTAATTTTTCAAAAGTAATAATAAAAACTTTAGTTTTTTTATTATTTTTAAAAAAGATTTAAATAAATTTAATAATTAAAAAATAATATTTAAAACTTATTTATATAAAAATAATTATTATTAACTTTTATAAAATTATAAAAAAGTTTAAAAAGGTTTTATAAAAATATTTAAATATATAAAAAAGCTTATAAATAAAAAAACGATTAAAATAAAAATTAAATTATATTATTAACTTTTAATTACATTTAAATTAAATATTAAAGGAAATAGCTAATTAATAATATTAAAAACGTATATTAAAAAAAATAAAAAAATAATAAAACTTATTTAAAAACTTATTTTAAAATCGTTATAATAATTATTATTTTTAATAATAATAAAAAATTATAAAAAAATAGTTTTATAAACTTTTTAATATTTTTAATATTTTTTAAAAAACGTTATATTTTATTAAACAATATACTTTATAATAATTATAAAATATATTATATAATTAATAATAAAACTTTATTAAATAAAAGTTTTTATAAATTTTATTTAAAAGATCTTTTTATAAAATAAATATTATTTATATTTATATTATAAAAATAAATATTAAAATTTTTAAAAAAGCTTTTTATAATAAAAAAAGTTTAAATATTAAAAACTTTATTTTAAAAAACGTTATTATTATAAAAAGGTTTTATATTAATATTATTTTTAAAGTATATTTATTAAAAACTAAAATTTAATATTATAGTTTTAATATAATTTTATATTTTAAAAATATAAATAAAAATATAATAATAATTTAATTATTTAAATTTTCTTTTTAATATAAACTTATTATTTATTTTATTATAAGTTATTTTTTGATATTAATAAGCTTTTTATATTTTATAATAATAATTTAATTTAATATTTTATTATATTATAAATTTAATTTTAATATAGCTTATATAAATAAAATAAATAACGTAATAATTTAATACTTTTAAATTAACTATTTAAAACTAAAAGCTTTTTAAAATTTAATTTATAATATTTAAAAAATAAATATAAAAAAGCTATTAAAAATAAAATATAAATATTATATTTTTATATATATATATATAAAATAATTTCTAAATCTTTTTTAAAAAATTAAGTTTTAAATTTTATATTATTATATATTTTAAAACTTTTTTAACTTTTTAAAATTTTTAAAAAACTATTTTTAATTATTTATAATTAAAAATAAATATTTTATAAAGTTTTTAAAATTCTTTTTAAAAAATAAATAAATAAAATTAATTTTTATAATCGTAAAAGTTTTTTAATTTTAAATATATTATTAAAAAGGCTTAATAATATATAAAATCCGTATAAATAA